GTCTCTCGGTGCACAAACAGGTAAATCGTGTCAATCCTTGCTGAGCAAAAGCGTGTTTCCCAGACCAGCAGCGTCAGTTTCCTGGGAGGTTGTGAGAAACGCAGTCACGGGCCTCATGGAAGCCCAGGGTCGTCAGCCTGAGTCTAAAAATGTCCGGCTCCCAGCCCCCCGCCACCCCCCAGTCCGCCGCTTACCAGGCTCCCCTTTGTTTTCTGTGCTTCATCAAGGCAGGGCTTTTGTTAAGTGTTGCTGCCTGGTCATGCAAAAGGTAAGTTTATGGTGAGGAGTATCTCCCCTCCCCGCCCACTTTAATGGTTATAGGTGTTTAATAACTTTCATCACGTGTGCAGCCATCACTACTATCAGTTTCTAACCTTTTCCATCACCCTTAGCAGAAACTCGGTGCCTTTTAAAAATTAACTCCCCTCCTCCCTTCCATCCGCCCTGGTAACCATTTGGTCTCTATACAAATTTGCCTATTCCAGGTATTTCACGTAAGTGGGATCGAACAATATTTGTCCTTTTGTATCTGATTTATTTTACTTAGCATAGCGTTTTCAAGGTTCATTCATGTCATAGCGTTTATGAGAATTTCATTTCTTTTTATAACTGAATAACATTCCATCGTGTGAATATACTACATGTTGTTTATCCGTGCATCTGTTGATGGACATTTGGGTTGTGTCTACTTTTTGGCTATTATGAATAGGGCTGCAGTGAACATTGCTGTAAAAGTACCTGTTTGCATCCCTGCTTTCAAGCCTTTTGGGCATATTCCTGTGAATGGAAATTTATGAGTCATGTGGTAATTGTATGTTTAACTTTTGAAGAACCGCCCAACTCTTTTCCACAGACGCTGCACCATTTTACAATCCCACCACCAATTTCTCCACATTCTCCCCAACTCTCGTTGTTTTCTGATAATAGCCATCCTAGTGGATACCCTGGTAGCATAGTGATTAAGAGTTTGTCTGCTAACCAAAAGGTTGGCAGTTCGAATCCACTAGGAGCTCCTTGTAAACCCTGTGGGGGCAGTTGTGCTCTGTCCTGTAATGTCCTGTAGGGTCGCTGTGAGTTGGAATCGACTTGATGCCAGTGGGTTTATTTTTCGGTTAGCCATCCTAGTAAGGGTGAGGTTGTATCATTGCAGTTTTGATTTGCATTTCCCTAATGACTAATGGCATAGAACATCTTTCCATATGTTTATTGGCCATTTGAATATTTCTTTGGTGAAATGTATATTTAAGTTTTTTGCCCATTTTTAAAATAGTTTATCTTTTTGTTGTTGAGTGGTAGGAATTCTTTATATATCCTGGTTATTAACCTCTTATCAGATATATGATTCCCAAATATTTTCTCCCATTTCTGTAGGTTGACTGTTCACTTTGTTGATAAAATCCTTTGGTGTCTGAAATTTTTAATTTGATGAAGTCCAGTTTATCTCTTTTGTCTTTTCTTGCTTGTGCATTTGGCATCATATCTAAGAATCCATTACTGAAATCTAGTGTGTAGAGAAAATAAATGTTTATATTTTTTCAAATTGTGAAAACAATTGCCTGTGTCAAAAATTTCAAAAATGGCATAGAGAAAAAATGATTATTAAACTCCATTTCAAGTCTCAGTATCTTTAGAAAAATGTGTTGTGTTTGTTTTTCTCTTTCCATCTTTAGAAATCAATATTCTAGAAGTACCCTTGGTGCACTGGAGTTCTGCTTGAAGACATGACTGTAGTGTTGTCACTTGATGTCAAATTCAAATCTTCTTTCAAACTACTGAATTTTCCTAGTTCAGAACCTAAGAGTTGCCCCTCAGATAACACCCCAGTATTGCCTTCCATTTCCTAAAGGCCCAGTCCATGCCAGAACTGTGCTCTTCCTTCCCTCTAGCTTGGAGCTGCAGAAGTGAGAATGGAGTCAGTTTCAGAGGTCACAGTTTGATTCTTTGTTTCCAGGAGGAGGCAACCTACCAGATGAAATATGGGCTCTTGGGTACCAGTGGACTCAGAGACTAAACCCCTCCAATAGCCCACCTGGGGCACTAAGGGCCATATGGCTCTGAAACCTAACGTGTCCATGACAGAGCTCTCCAGTCTCACCCCAGCAAGTCTATTTCTCACCTGACTTTCCCATATCAGTAAATGGCACCAGCATCCATTCACTAGATTAAGAGATATACTCAGTCCATCTCTATCGTCTTTTTCTCTCATCTTCTACCTTCAGGAAAGCACCAAGTCTTGGTTTAGAACCAAAGTATAACCACTGTCTTCATGGCTGCACCCTAGTCCAGGCTACTCTGAGAGATGTCCCTTAGGAAAACAGTCTCTGAACTTTTTCCCAGTTTTTCTCGTCACAAAAGGGTATAATTCCCACCCAGCAGGAAAAGGCATATTTCAAAAATGTAAACCAAGTAAGCTGTCAATCACATATAGAATAAAATCCACATATTTTCCATTACCCAACAAGATCCTACCTGTTCAGGCTTATGTATGGCTCTCTGACTTAAATTTATAACACTTGCTTCATGTTAAGTAAGCTCTTGATACATTTTTTAAAAACTTTTACAAAGATGTCAAGATTTTCCTTGCCTTTTGTCCTTTGTACCAGGTATTTCCTCTGATTAGAGGAAAACTTTTTACCACAGAAATCCCATTATTCTCTTAATTCAGGTCTAATTGCAAACGTCACCTCAGAGAGTCCCCCTCTGTCCCCTCAGTTATTCCCACTCATTTCTGTGTTTAAATAACATTGCAGTTTTCAGAATGTGGCAAATCCAATTTAGGTTGTAACCTTAATCATATAAATACAACCAAATTATTTTGAATGTTACCTTTGCTTTTATCTACTCTCCTTCCCTATGTGACAGGCTTCCCGCAAACAAAAAGCTGTGAAGCTTTGCATGGTGGTGATGGCAGCCTTCACACCCTCTCTGCTCTGTTGGTCAGTTAGGGTTCTGTTGAGCCCACTAGAGCTGTGATGTCCCCTAGCCAGATGTGGCTATTGCAATTAAAATTATTTAAATCTAAAAGAAAAAATTCACTTCCTTAGTTGCACTGGTCACGTACTAAGTGCTAAGTGTCCGCGTGTGGCTGGTGCCTTCCCTATTGGACTGTGCAGAGATAAAACATGCCTATCTCCAAAGAAAGTCCCACTGGATAGTGCTACTCAAGTGTATATACAACAGGTGGTAATCTGTACGTGTGGTTATTCTGTGTGTGACCCCCATTATCCGTGTCATAGGCCAGAAGGAACAAGAAAACAAAATACAGAGTGTCTGCCCATAGATAACACCCTAGCATGGGAGACAGTTTTAAATAAATAATGAAAAACCTGGGTTATCTGATGCCTATAATAAAAGGACCTAACCTGAGAGTTCGGTTAGATGACTTGAAAGGGGAAATCATTTAAGTGAACATTCATAGAGCTAGTTGGATTTAGCTATATAGATGGTTAGCTATATACATGAGCAGGGTTGATAGCATGTGTCATGGGTGGGCGTGGAAATAGTAGTTCAGTTGGGAAGAGTTAGTGTGTAAATCCCTGAGGCCACAGAGAGTGCATTATTACCCATTGCTTGGTGAAAGTTAGAGATGGTTGGGGCAAAGAAGACAAAGTGTGGATTGGAGGTTGGGGGTGTTGTGTGAGCCAGACTGGAGGAGGCGATGGCAGCAGGTCGTTCAGAACCATGCTGACCACTCTGGGCTTTTTGAAGGTCAGGGGACAGCCTCTGATGGGCATTAAGCAGGGATGGGTGTGAGTGTATTTGCGATTTAAGACAGAACACTCCAGTTCCTGTACTGCAAATAAATTCTGGAAATGACAACCATGAATGAATGATGTCAAGCAGGAGCTTGTATGAAAAAGTTAAGGCAGACTGAAGTGGACTAGATATGGAGGATGGTGTGGCTCAGGAAGATAGTGGATGATATAATGTAGATGTAGGTGGTTCAGAGGGCATCTCGGTTGATAGAATGCTCTTTTCTTAAGTTACAGGCTACAGAGCAGCGAATGCTTCTTAAAGTTGAATGTAGATGTGGATAACCCAGTGCGTTAAAATGCAGATTTTTATTTAGCAGTCTGGGATGTAGCTCGAGAGTCTACATATCTAACAAGCTTGCAGTTTATGCTTTAGAAATAAAGTTGTGAATTGAAATTAGTGGTGTTAGAGAAAATAATAAAAGGAAAAACAGTACTTAAAGGGGAGACACTGGTATGATAGTCATGCAAGAAAGAGAACACTTACACTGAGATCAAGAAATCGAAGAGTGAGAGTCCGCTGGATGGGGAGGCTGGCTGGGGGAGGGGGGAAATGGTAACAGACAGGAGAGGGCTCCTTAGAGAAAACGTAATGATTTTCTGATTTATTTGTTGATTGATTCATTATAATCTTGAAAGAGACAGTGTTCAGGAATCATCCCAGATTTCTTTAAAACTTGGGGACTGGTGGTATCATGGTCTGAAAGCAAAGGAAAAAAAAAAAAGCAAGGGGAATAAAGAAATGTTAATCGCAAAATCAACAGGGAAAATACTGATCATGTATTACAATGTTGTTTATGAAATAAAAGTTAAAAAAAAGCTCAACAGAAGAGATTTAAGTGCACATGATTAAAAATTGATGACGCATGATGAGTGCATTGATCAAACTTGAAGAATATGTTCTCCGTGAAAATGTACCCATGTTGATATCAAATAACAATGTGTGTGTTGATCTACAAGGGGCAAAGTTATATAGGTGAACACACAGACTCATCCTTGGACCCCTGACTCCCTGGAGGAAATCAGGTTCAAGTTTTCCAGCCTCACCCTGGGTGCTTCTCACGCTCTGGAATGAGTAAATTCCTCCATCTGTGATGTTGTTGCGGAAGGGGACAGGCCTGTGTATCTGTGTGAAGATTGTAGGTGTGTGCTCTGGAAGGCTGGAGCCTGATCTGCCTTAAATGCAGATGCCCTTAGGATGGAGCATGGGCTTGAGCCTGGGAGAAAGCCCTGCCCAGGGAAAGAGCTGAAGGCCAAGGACCTGTCACTCCGTCCTTGCTCAACACTGTCTCCTCCCCATCTTCTTCCATTTCAGGTCCCAGGTGTAGCACTGAGAGAACTAGTCCAGTCAGGCAGCTGGAGACCTAGGGTGACCATCTTGCACATCCTTGCTGTCACAAGTAAGGATTTCAACTGCTCTGACTGGCTGTGTGGACCAAACATTCATCTGCCTCCAGACTGCCTGGTGGCTCTGCCTCCACTCCCGTCCCTCTTCCTGAAGTGGCTTCTTGGACTCTGAGAGGACATTCACTTAGACTTCCAGAAGCTGGAGCAAGGACATGGTGAGTACCACAGAGAACTGGGTAATACTTAGTATTTAAGGGGGTGAGGCTAAATATGATTTGGTGGGGGACTAGCTGTGTGTGCCATGCTGTGTTTCTATGAGGTAAAAGGTGGCAGAGGAGGCCAAGAGACTCAATCCTAAGTGGCATCCTAAAGCCCAGCTCCACTGTCACTGGGCCCTTCCTCTACACATACTTGGTGTTTGAAGCCTTGGATGCCTGTGGTTTCCTTTCATATGTGACTCAGAGCTGGGACCGTGGGCCCTTAACATCCACAACCTGGGCCTTGGTGCTGTGTGTTGAATGACAGAATGTCCTGAGCAGAGCCTGAAGACAGAGCAGCTCTGGCTGGGGAGGCTGAGCCCCAGGTCCTCCAGAGCCATCCTGTCCCATCACTGCACACAGTGTTCTTGGCTTCCCCCAGCCACTGGAGCCTGTCCTGTGTAGTTCTAACACTGCAGCTCCACCCCTCTGTGTGATGGAGTAACAAGGGAAGAGAGAGTTAGTCGGGGAAGAACGCTGACTCTATGGGTCCTGCGTGTGGCTTGGCACTGTCGTGACCTCAGCACAGGAATGAGGCAGGAGAGTGAGTCCAGCTGGATCATGTCTGAGGTCTCCAAAACTGTCATTTTTTCCAGTGGAGAATAGTTTTGTTTGAGTCTTTCAGGTGTGTGAGAAGCATCATACCCAGTCCAGGTCCCTGTCCTCCCAGGCTCTCTGTTCCTAGAGCTGGTGTGACATTTCTAAAATTTTTGACTGCTCCCCACAGTCTTGGATTAAAATCTAAAATTAACTGTTCTTTTTTGCTAAAGGAGCTCAGGATATGAGATGGTGATTCATCCTGTCTGGCCAGCACTCAGGGCAGCACCACAGGCGTAACCCAGGGTCACAGGGGAAGACCCACTGCGGACAAGTCAATTCTGACTGATAACGACCCTATAGGACAGAGTAAAACTGCCCCATAGGGTTTCCAAGGTTGTGAATCTTTACAGAAGCAGACTTCCACATCTTTCTCCCGTGGAGCAGCTGGTGTGTTTGAACTGCCAACCTTTTGGTTAGCAGCTTACCGCTTTAACCACTGTACCACCACGGCTACTTCACAAGGGTAAAACTGAAAAAACAAACCTGTTGTCGATGAGTCGATTCCAACTCGTTGGGACCCTGTAGGACAGAGTAGAACTGCCTCATAGGGTTGGTGGATTTAACTGCTGACATCTTCGTTAGCAGCCATAGCATTTAACCACTGTACCACCAGGGCTCCTCACAGGGGTAGAGCAACTCCTAAATGCTCTTGGAAAGGCTTGGTTCGAATTCCGAAAAAGTAAGCAGCGAAAGTTAGGTTGATTGGACCAAAGGCTTTTAATTAGGGGAAACTAACATACCGAAGGGCAGCGCAGGGCAGCGCAGAAGCGAAGCACTGGTCATTAACTTAGCTTATGGCACTGGTGTGCACAGGGGGCCTTTGTTGTAACACCTACACTCAAAGAGTGGGTGAATTACAAAGGGCGAAAGGAATGTGGTACCAGCACCACAGGAGGAGCGCCATAGGCGGAAGGGAGGGGAACGCAAAGTCTGAAAACCTGGGGAGGAAATGGCCCTGGGAAGGGGAGTCTGGCTGATGGCCTTTCTAACTGACTGACAGGGTTACTGTCTGGTCAGCCACTCCTGCTCAACCCCAGAGTCCTTCGTGGGCAGGATCCACATCGGCTATGTCTAAAACACCACAGATGGGTGTAGTTAAGTTCTCAGGGTCACAGTTTCCACTGAAAGCAAATTTTGGGATCAGTTGTTGTATTTCTACTGATAATTTTTAAAATTAATGGATAAAAAATTTCTGAAACAGGAAGTTACTCTAAAGCTTACACAAAAGGACGGGTATTACATTTTCCGTATTATACCAGAACCCCTAATGTTTTAACTCTGCTAGCCATTTTGGAAACCTTCTGACAGAGATAAAATGAACGTACAGACTGATATCCCTAGTTAAAAACAAAACCAATAGATATCCCTAGTTACTGAGTTTCAACACAGAGCTCTGACTTAATTTTTGATTTGCACAAATATATCAGACCATTTCATAACAGTTAGGCCCCATGTGATTAAATCTTGACTGGTTCTATACTTATGAAGGGGAAATCCTAGGAAACACAATAAATAGCACATTTGATTTATATTATGTTTAAAAGTAAGATTACTGTTTTTCCAATAGATAAGACCTTTAAAGCTTGAATCTCAATATGAACTTAACAAATAATCTTTATGAAGATTTACTCCTAACCTTGTCCTCATCCAGACCATTCTTCTTCCACCAGCTGCCTTTAGATAACCAGCTTTCTTGTCGACTTTATTAAGCATCTTGCCAGTATTTCTTTATATAAGTGCAACAAATAGAATTAGAAATTTTTATTTCCCCTACTTTGTTATACAAAAGATAGCTTGGAATTTATCCTTACTTTTTTCAGTTAACAGAATATCCTGGAGATCTCTTCATGACAATATATAGACAGCTTGAGTCTAAAGTTGTATAAAACTCCATAATGCTGCATTTGCTAGATCTGTCTTAGTGTTTTGTTTAATTTTTTTTTTAACCTCACCACCATGAATGGACACTTGAATAGTTTCCCATATTTTCCTTTTACAAAGTTCGCTCTAGTGAATGTAAACGTAAATTTCTAAGATCCAGGCATTAAAAAGTTGAGATATAAAAGCGCTCCTGACCTAAGACAAGTTAAATCAAAATGAAGGGGCTGTCAGATTACTGGGTAAAATTAATATATGAAAATCACATATGTTTTCAGTTTTAAATAATGTTTTAAACTTTATTTTGTAAAGTATATTATAAACAGATGAAAATTACATTTTTCAGTTTTTAATAATGTTTTAAACTTTCTTGTGTAAAGTATATTATAAACAAAGACTGCATGAAACTTTTCATGCAGAGTTTTAATAACAGTAAACACCTGAGTATAAATAGGACTTCGGGAGTCCTTAGAGCCTCCCGGTGTGTCCTGCCCTGGTCTCATTAACATGGAGGTGACTACTCTCTGTATAGTCCAAATTTGTTATTGGTATTGCTGTTATTACAATTTTACCACCCAAGTCTTCATTCTTAAACTATGTATTGTTGAATTTTGTATCTTCTGAGCTTTCTGTAAATGCACATACTCTGTATGACTTCTTTAGTGACTTGTTTTCCTCATGATGTTTTTGAGTTTCATACATGTTGATGTCTGTAGCTCTAGTCTACCCATGTGCCTACGCGTGTATGTTTTCTGTTGTATGGATGGGCCACATTTTACCATCCATTGTACAGCCTACAAAATTTAGGTTATTTCTAGTTTAGTTTTTCTTCTTGTGAGTAGTGCTGCTCTTCTGTTCATTCTCTTTCCAGATCCACGTGCCCTTGCCCAAGAACTCTCTAGTGAGGGGAAACCACTGAGTTGCAGATCATAGCCAAAGTTAAATTCACTAGGAAATGCAGATGTAGTTTACCAATTTTCCCTCCCGCTTAGTGTGCATATGTATTTTATTTGCTTCATTTGCTTAGCAACATGGGAATTAATTAATTAATATTTGCTTTGTAGAGGGCATGATGGTATCTTTAATTCTGCAATTATCTTAAAACTACTCCAGTACTCCGCCACTCATCTGTCACTTTGTCACACTGTGGTGGCTAATGTGTTGCTGGAAGTTATACCACTGGTAATTTCAAATACCAGCAGGGTCACCCATGGTGGACAGGTTTCAGCAGAGCTTTTAGGCTAAGACAGACTAGGAAGAAAAACCTGGCGATCTACTTCTAAAAACATTAACCATTGAAGACCTTATGAATAGCAGCAGAACATTGTCTGGTATAGTGCTGGAAGATGAGCCCCTCAGGTTGGAAAGCACTCAAAATACAACTGGGGAAGAGCTGCCTCCTCAAAGTAGAGTTGACCTTAATGATGTGGATGGAGTCAAGTTTTCAGGACTTTCATTTGCAGATGTGGCATGATGCAAAATGAGAAGGAACAGCTGCAAACATCCGTTAACAATCAAAACATGGAATGTATGAATGAATCAAGGAAAATTTGAAGTTGTTAAAAATGAAATAGAACACATGAAGATTGATATCCTAGGTGGAAAGGAGCCCTGGTGGTACAGTGGTAAAGTGCTTGACTGCTAACCGAAAGGTTGGCAGTTCAAACCTATCAGCTGCTCTGCAGGACATACATGTGGCAGTCTGTGTTCGTAAAGATTATAGCCTTGGAAACTTTATGGGGGCAGTTCCACTCTGTCCTATAGGGCTGCTATGAATTGGAATCGACTGTATGGCAGTGGGTTTGGTTTTTGGGTTAGTGAGCTGAAATGGACTGGTATTGGCCATTTTGAGTCAGACAGTCGTATGGTCTACTATGCTAGTGTAAAAATGGCATGGTGGAGGCATGTGACCTCTTCTGACTTCACGAGAGGAAGAGAGAATCATTATCAGCCTCAACAGCACAAGACTGATTGCTGTGAGGCTGAGGTCAGACATACCTCCTCTCGCCAGACTTTTTTACCAATTCTGACACCAACCACCCCTTCCATGACACTCTACTTCTCTTCTGGGTTTGATAATTCATTGCAGTGGCCATACAGAACTTGCAGACCATACTCACAGTTACGGAGTTTATTAGGGAAGTAACAGGTTATAATTCAGGTTCAGGAATGCTCTGGGTACAGTTCTTTGATCAGGACAGCCTCTTCTCAGCTGTGCCTACAGGCAGGTCTCTTTCTGACTCTCGGCCCCTCCGCCTGGACTCTGCCATGCTCGGGCAAGTGTTACAAACTTCTTTCAGCTTTGCCAGTAAGTACCCAGAAGCACCCTGTTCGGCCAGTAAGCGTCGGCCCAAAGGCTCAGCTTTCTCACTCCATGTGCTGGGAAGCCCACTGTGTCATCTTCTGCTTCCGCTGCCTCCAATTCTCTGCTGCTGCTTCGTAACCGTCTTCGGTGTTAACAGCTCGCTGTCTCAGTCTCC